AGTTCCCTAAATTTCCTGGTAAATGGCCTTTTCATTTATCGGAAAGTCAGCTTGAAGCCAGGCGTAAAGGTCTTGAAAGTTACTTGCAGCAAGGTCTGTTTACTTTATAAAACTATAATCATAGACAATTATAAACAGTGTCATATGTCATTACTGGTAATTAGTTTTCATTCCAAGCTTAGATCCATTTTTCCATCCAATTTATAAGTTCTTTCACCCATTAGAAAAAAGGATATTTCAAATTTCTTTTTTTTTTTAATTTCTTTTTTTTTTATTTAACAATCACACAACTAATACACAAAAAAAGGTACAGTGAACATAGTCAAGTGTACAGATAAATTACATATTACAGAGACGTAATAGCAAACTATAGTATAATATTATAGAAATATAAATGGTATCCGGTGATGTCGCCCCGAAGTGATGTCGCCCCATGATCTCGCCCCCATATATAAGTGATCTCGCCCCCACTTAGTTATTGATATATATAAATATATGTCAATTTCTATGGAGTGCATTCCTTATATTTTCAAATCTTGTCAGATGGAGATGCACAAATTTCTATTAATTTCAAGAATCTGTTTGTTGAGTATTATTTCATTCATTTTCTATTCATTCATACAGTATTTCATTCATTCTTATTTTCATTGAATTACTATGTGGGAAAAATCTAAATTTGTTATATTTTTCTCCAGTGTGCGCTGTTCGAGTTCTTGGAGAATCAGAATATATTCGTGAATTTTTGGATGACCGGGAAATAAAGGTAACTAGACGATCAGCGATCGTTTACATGGGCTTCCTGTGGTATATCACAATCAGTAAATGATATTGAACCCTAATGAAATTAATATTACTATTAAAGACAACAGCCAAAAAAGTTTTCCTTTAATGAAATATAATCAACAAACAAGCAATGTACTTGAAAATAGTAGAATTTAATAATATTGTGAAAGAAGTAATTTATGTTTGACGAGACGTTACTTTAAGAGTCGCATACTTGGCTGTATTAAACACAGATCGATAGTCTTTCATGTTCTTCGCTTAAAATACTTCCTATCCTCTGTTTTTCCTCAGTATAAATCTGTTGACATGTCTTAGATAAGTCCTTGGTGATTGTAGAGCCTGTACTAGTATAAGTTAGCTTTTGATGAGCTAATGTTGATAGTAGAACCTTAATTCACGATCGGTAGATTCACGATAAATTCGCCGTATCTCTCCAAATGCCCTTTTGAGAAATGCTCGAATTTTTTTAGTGTGGCTATGCCGCGAATGGTGTGTGGATTTGTAAAAGAATCTAGCCTATTTGTAGAAGCTAGATAGATTCGACATGTTCGATCTTAAGACTTTGCCGGCTTTACGAAGGTCCGAAGACCTTTGAATCGTTGCTTAGAAACATGAATGACAGTAAGACAATAGATGTCAAAAATGAAAAGGTCCCGGATATAATTTGAAGCATACCACAGACGAAAAACGTCGGTAATTTAAGACATGGTCTTCCTTTGGAAGCCCATGTAATTATGTCTATCAGTTATCAAATATATAATTGAGAAAAATTGACTAAAAAGCCTATTTAAAGCTTTGTTTTATATTCAGAGTGAGCTGAGTA